GACGGTAGGGAGCATCCAGTAAAGGCTTGCTGAAAGGCACGTCGGAGACCCACTTGCGCATGGGGAAGGCCCGAGGCTATCTATTGACTTACCCGGCCGGGAGCTTGGCCCTTGCAAGGGATTCCTTGCGAGGGGCTCCAACGAGGACTAGGGGCAAGCTTGCGTGCTTCTTGATACCTCGGTAAAAATATTGGCATCATCGACGGGAGTTTGCATATCTCTACCTTGCTCTTTAGCTTTCGCATTTATATTGATTGTATTACTCCTTTTGCGGTAGAGATAGCAACACACTAACAAAACCATAGTTGCACATTTAGATAGTTTATCTATTGCATAGGTTTTGCTAGGGTTAGAAAAAGAGACCATAGTTTAGAAGTTGAATTTTAAGTTGCCTAAATTCACCCCATCTTAGGCGTCATGGTCCCCTACAAAGAATAAGAAGTTCTGCAAATTTTATAACGCTACTTCTCATTGTACTAATGAGTGCAAAATTTTTCAACAACATATACAGAGGGCTATTCAGCAAGGGAAGCTTAAATTTGATACATCTTGGAAGATGAAAGTTGATAATAATCCTTTTCCAAGAGATCAGAATATGGTTGATGATAAATTGCTCAAAGGGAAGACTAAAGTTCTAACATTAACTAGGGCCAAAGAAATTGGAACAGTCGATCCAAAGATGCAAATATCGGTTGATAAATATAGAGAAATTAAGAGGCGTCGTGACCAACAGAAGAGCCGATATGAGCAGGGAGAGACATCAAGGAATGGGGCGATGAGGCCACGTGTTACATCTCGAATTTTGTTGAACAAATGGCAATGGCTAAAGAAAAAGGATTATCAGCATTGGTTAGAAGAGAAAGAATATCAGCGTCAACAGGAAGATGAGAGGTATGAAAGAAAACAAGCTGAATCACATTGGAATTGTCCTTTCTTCATACATTGTTGGAATGTAGAAATAATTGCCCAGAGTGTAGTGAACAATATTGAGAGTTTAGGCAATCTCAAGCCAGCCGCCGGTCTATCCTTGCTCGAAATGAGTATCATCATAATAATATAGAGCGGTGCTTAAAAAATAGAAGTGTTCATGATCGGCTTGGGAAGCGAGTTGTTGATCAAAACTGAGTTGATTATGAAGAAGAAGGTGATAAGGAAGAGTATATTTGGCAGAAAGAGCAATGGTGTCCAGGAGGTTTGACAAGAAGTCAGAAAAGAAGGGTACAACGCCTAAGGAATAGAGAGCTAGAACAGGCTCAGAAATCTGATAAACCTTAAGTGTGGCGTGCTAAACAAACAGCCGATAGGGGTCAACCATCGGCTAATATTCAACTAGCTTTTCTTTTGTCATCAGAGTTTAGAGCTCGAGCAGATCAAGAAGTTTATTCAGATTTTGATGAATTAGAATATGAGGAGATAGTTGCCAAGTTGATAGTAATACAACAAGCTATATTCGATAAGTCAATCAAGCATCGGCACTTAAAGGCTTTATATGTAAAAGGTTTTGTTGATGGGAAGCCGATGAGCAAAATGTTGGTGGATGGAGGTGCTTCTGTTAATCTTATGCCTTATACCACTTTTTGCAAGCTTGGCAAGGGACCAGGAGATTTGATGGAGACTAACATAATGCTGAAGGATTTTGGGGGTAATGCATCCAAGACTAGTGGGGCAATAAACATTGAATTGACAATTGGAAGTAAGACTTTGCTCACTATATTCTTTGTCATTAATGGAAAGGTTTCATATAGTTTACTCCCTGGTCATGATTGGATTCATGCAAATTGTTGTGTACCATCGACTATCCATCAATGCTTGATTCAGTGGCATGGAGATGATATTGAGCTGGCTCATGCTGATGATTCTGTGAGTATAGCAACAACTGATCCAATGTATTAGGAACTAGAAGACTTTGAGTGTTTTTCTGGCAAGCTATGGGAAGGAGGCTTCATTAAGATCAATGATGAAAGCCAATAGCCGATCCAAGCAGTCGATTCTAAGAGTTTGTTTTAATGGATAATCCAATAGATGGTACAGATGGTAAACTAGGACATGGCTTTACATCGGCCAATGAATTAGAAGAGATAGATATTGGTTCTGGAGATAGGCCTAAGCCGACGTATGTAAGTGCTAAGTTGGATCCTGAGTATAAGCGAGAATTGATAGATTTATTAAAGGAATTTAAAGATTGTTTTGCTTGGGAATATTATGAGATGCCTGGTCTAGATCGATCAATTGTTGAACATCGGTTGCCAATCAAACCTGAATATCGACCGTTTAAATGAGCTCCGAGGAGATTTAACCCAAATGTTCTTGATGATATAAAAAAGGAGACTAAAACATTACTAGAAACAAAATTTATTCGACCGTGCCGTTATGCAAAGCGAATATCGAGTGTTGTTCCTGTGTACAAGAAAATGGAAAGTTAAGAGTTTGCATCGATTTCAGAGATCTGATCAAGGCTACACCCATGGATGGTTATCCGATGCCAATAGCCGATATGTTTGTAGATGCAGCAGCTGGGCACAAGGTTATTAGTTTTATGGTCGGCGATACAGGATAAAATCAAATTTTTATGGCTGAGGAAGACATAGCAAAAGCAGCCTTTAGGTGCCCTGGCGCGATCGACTTATTTGAATGGGTTGTAATGACCTTTGGTTTGAAGAATACTGGTGCAACTTATCAAAAGGCGATCAATGGAAGGTATCTAAAGAAATATTATCTTGGCATTTGGATTAATACTTGATAGCCAATTTGTTCAGTCATCGGCTCTAATAGCTAGTACCAGAAGGGTATTGCCTTTAGTTAAAAAATTAACCCAAAGAGGGGAAAACCCGATACGATATGTATCGCCTATAGAGCAAAAACTGTAACACCCCAGGTGTTTGTCCCCAGTTAAGTAATGGGTTTGAGCTCAAACATGACATGTTAAGTGGTGATGAAGGTGGCAATATCAAATCTACAAGAGTGAGCTCCAACTTAAATATGGACAACACACCTTTGCTTACATGTTGGCCCTTTTATGATATACACCTAAGTAATGTTGAAGATGCTTCTTTCATGTGCCTCACCTCAATTTTCACCCACTTTGATGACTGGAAAAGTTTCACGAAGTTTGGAGCCAAAAAATCACATGATATGATGAGTTACATTCTTGCTTGAATTGCACTATTAAGTGAATGGAATTATAGGTCATCAACCAAACCTTGCAACTTGGCTCAAACAACTCTACTTACACTCATGAACAAAAGTTATAAAGGGTTCATGTTGAGCAAGTGGCCAGAAAATGCTTCAATAGACCAAAAAGGATAATTTAAGATTTATCGTGATGCTACTTTGATTTGGTTTGAACTATGGCTTAGAGTGTTTGCATGGCAGTAAAACCTAAATAAAAGTTGTAGTTCATCTTATGTAAAACAAATTTTATTCTTGGAGCACGTTTGTATGTTCAAAATCAAAAAACAGAAAATGCTTGTTGGAATAGCTAGAATTGTCTTTTTCATGATAGGGTTTTGACCGGTGTTGACCAACTATTTCAATTACATGCGTGAAGGTGGGACCTAAATAAAAGTTGTAGTTCATCTTATGTAGAACAAACTTTGTTTAAAGGTCAAGACGTGGTTCAGTCTCTAACTTCGTCTAACCGAGCCCTCAAGTTGGAATCCATGGCTGTTTTGGGAGCTCTAAATTTTGCTAAGTCTGGGTTAACTGAAAACTGAATTTCAGTTTCATGAGCCCTACTTTGCATCTCTCTATCTTCCAATATAATCCGAGTGAGACCAAAAACCTTTAAGAAAACTTGTAGTGCTCATATAGCTCAACAACACTGTGCAATTGGTTTAGTTTTCATCGCTCGGTTTAGGAGACAGAGAGGCGAGAAAATGAGGCTTCAGTTGGTTTTTCCGGCGTTTTTGAACTAGCCTGGAGCACTTGGACGTGGCTGACCTATACAGATGCTTGCCACCGCGTGGCCATCATGCTCAAGTCACGCCCCCACTCGCCTCGGGCGTGCACTTGTGTAGAGGAGTCGAACTAGACGCCGTTGTCTCTCCCTACCTCTGCATTCTTTCTTTCTCTCTCGCCGTTCTCCTCCTTTAGCCAGGCACGGTATAGCAGGGGGCAATTGCCGCTGCCACCTTTCCTCTGTCTCGTGTGCTTGCGGGTCATGCCGAGCTTGCCTCCAACTCCGCGGCACTACTAGGGATGTGTACATCAATGATGCTCTTCTTTCGTTACTGAAGACTCCAAAATCGTCACATATATTATTTTATAACGAATTTGTGACGATATGGTATTCGTCATTGAATGCGCGTCATATTTTACCTACCGTGACGAAACGTCTATTTTCATCATAGATGTGCATTTGTTCTATGACGAAATGGCCGTCGTCATAGAAGTGTATTCTTTCTATGACGACCTATTTTCGTCATTGATATAGCCCATTTTTCGTCATGACTTGCCGTCTGTTAGGCGGCCAGACGACGTCTGCCACGCTGGCAGCTGACGTGTCTTGTCCACGTGGCACGTCCACATTGCAGGTGACATGTCCAACCACGTGGCAGCTGACGTGGCCAGTGATGTGGATGGTCCACGTGTCTACTTTTTATTGGGCCACAAGGCTTGCTGTGATAGGTTCTTATTTTCGTCACTGAAGTAAATAGAAATTCATCACAGAATCAATTACCAAATCGTCACAGAAAGGTCAGATAATTCATCACAAGTGCACATGCTAATTTCATTACAGAATGCAAATAATACTGGAATGACCAAAAGCTTCCATAAATTAACAGATCCAGTATTCCAATGACCAACAACTTAATCAACAATTCTAAACTCGGTTCACATAACTCACTAGACATCACATTTGAACTACTAGTTTCATCTCAGTTCACATTAACATCACAGGAAATAATAAAAAGTTGCCAACCACCAGCAACATAAGTTACTACATAAACAAAATCACCAGCAGACCCCTTGCTTAATGAACCAGCAGCTACGAGCAGCGCTCATGTCGAAGAAGCATTGTTGATGGCCAAGATACGCTTGAGCAACGCATTGTTCTCCTCCATTGCCTTGTTGTTTATCTCTGTCAGCTTCTTGTACTCCTCCATCTCCTTTTGTGTCCTCGCCAGTTTTTCCTCAGCTTCTTCACTTCTCTTCCTGAGTTCATAGATTTCACCTTGTACAGCAGTCGTAGCTTCAGTTGCTAGTTGCTCCCGAAGCTCACTTTCATTTGATGATGATGATTTAGAGGATGGCACTGGTTTGATGCCAACACTCTTCAGGAAAAGGTTTGAGCTATTCTGGGAGAGCACCTGGGACACAACCTACACACTGGACACTGCTGTCTCACCTTCAGCAACAGGTTCTGTCCTCAAAGCTTCCATATTTGACTGAAACAGCAATGACCCATCATTAGTTGATACTTATTGCATTAATTTGAGGAGGAAATATCACACAAGATGTATTTTAAAAAATAAAAACCTATGCTAACGCTACGGCGACTTTCGGTAGTACAAATCAAACATTCAAAAGATAATATATGCATCGCTAACAAAGCATAAATGTGGTATGTTTAAGATTCACTAAAAATCAACGATACATAGAGTTACATATATTAATTAACACTGATCTCATTTGAAATACATTATACCTTTCACAGCACACACTGAAAGAGTTAGAACTACAATAAGTATATTTTCTGTCAATCGTCTTATCTACCCTACATACAGAGGCCTAAATAAGCATGTCTTGGTGGCAGTGATCGCCGTGGCAAAGGTTCAGTGAGGTGTGTGCAAGGCACCTTTCTACCAATATCTTGTCTGCAGCTAGAGAGCATGAAATGACCGATATACCATCTTTCTTTGGCTGATGCTACATCAACTAAAAGCTTGATTGATAGCACAGTTCAATCTGAAGCAATGTAGAAAAGTAACTTCTTGTAGACAGTGTCATATAGTTGTTCTGAAGGGCAAAGCAATGTCAGTTTAGTGGAACAATATAAATTGACCTGTCAGTTTAGTGAAACAGTACAAATTAACCTAGCCACGAACGGCCCAAGCCAAATCACCCTAGTGAAAAAGTACAAATGAAGTGCCCTGTGGATTCAAACCGCTGGCACTGACCTAAGGCCGAGATCTTCGACTGGAGCTGATCCGGCTCATTCTTGCGTGGCCTCGGCAGCCTCCTCCACCCTGAGCGTCACCGTGGCCTGGTTGTTAACATGCATAGTTAAGATGACAGAAAAAAGATACGACAGAAACTGTTGCACGGTTAAGATGAAAATGCATTGCATTTTACCTTTGGGATGTATATTAGTTTGCCAAGGTGAATCAAAGAGCTCGCAGTAGACCAAGTGCAGTATAATTTTTCGGAATTTTATTCATGCTGCACCAGGCCAAGCAAGTGCAGTAGTAACTACACAACCATCTAAAGGCATATGTCGCTGGTAAGATGATAGACACAGTTCTGAAAGAGATCTGACAATCAACAACAACAACAAAATTATTAAAAAGCAAGGTACCTAAGTGAGCTGCAAACATACTTGATCAGGAGCTAACGGTGACATTTGGTAATGCAAATCACACAACAAAAAATGATTTACCAGTGAGCTGAGATTAATCACTTAGAAATTCTGATTTAATGTATCACAAAAGAGTACAAATATTTACAACATACTTTCTTCTTCTTCTTCTATTTGCTCAATCAGTGTGCTGGTTAGTATAGATGATTATTTCTACAATCTCTCCAATGGTTATGGAGCAGGTTCTTCAATTACTAAATTGTGCTTACACATACTTAAATGTCCACTGGATGGGATGACTCAAGTAAAATGAGAGACAAGAGCAACACATGCATGCACCCTCATTGTTGATCTAAATCAAGAGGTTTCAGTTCAAGATCATTGTGGCGACCAACAATGTGGTAAGCTACATAGAAACACTGCGATTAAAATTATATATTGCAGTGTTCATCAGTCATGCATGCAACTGGAGAAGTTGTCCTAATCTCATTTGCAGGTACACCATTGAAGTATATTGCCCGTGCTAACGCTACGGCGATATCTATTTTGCTGTTGCCCTCAGGTTTAGACCAGGCTTCAACAATCTCAAACATCAGCACACAATTCCTCATTTTTTTTCATGGTCCAACAGATATAAAATGCCTTAAATTGAACTAACCAGAAATTGTGAAAATTCTTAACATATTTGGATAGGAGATAACATGAACAACAGAATATAAAAGACAGTTCTCAAATTCAACTTAGTAATTTGTTATCCAATATACGTCCCAAAAGAGCTCAAGGATATTTGCATTTCTATGCAGAAAAAAAAGTTCTCAAATTAAATTTAGCAATTTGATACAGAACATCCTAGTTTTCAATGCCACCACTAATCACAAACCATATGCATATCTCAAATTAATGTATAGAAACCAAACACCATTCAAACAATTCCTCCCAAATATAATCTTCCCACAAGGGCACAAGGTATTTGAAGAATATTTGCATTTCTGTTCATACAAAAAACTTTTCTAATTTGGTTTGGCAACTGCTTATCGATAAGATATCCTAGACTCGTACGGAAACAATTATTTGTAAGTAAATAATAGACAATATAAAGGAGATAATAATACAACTTCAATGGAACTTCTTAGTTACCTTTGCTTCACTGATTGCAGCCTCTGATGTTCTGTACCTGGTGGCGGAAGACAACATATGCGGAAGTCAATGCAGATACTGTCAGTATCCATTGCCTCTTCTCTGCCCTTTTCAGTTTTGACCAGGAAAAAGTTCTTCAGATGGAAGAATATCACCTCAATATCACCAGCTATCCCAGTCCAACCATCAACCATTACATATGTAATTTCCTTCATTGGGATGGAGTCACCAATGATCCTTGGTATGCTGCAGAAATAAGCAATTTAGACACTCCGGAAATCATGACTGCCATTCATAATTTCATTAAGAGAATGCAAGGAATAGATTATCAGAAACATATAATGTCATGCTGTGATATATTTCCGAATTTTCTCGATCTCTGATTTGCAATAGTCAATAGCATCCACCTTGGAACCAAAACATCCAAGAAAGACAGCCTGCAACAAAGCTCAGTTAAAGCACAAGGAATTAATACTAAATATACTAATACAATATTCCAGTTTACAGATGCTCAAACCAAAAACTACATCAAAGAACAGCATAGCTTAGCTATATAATTATTGTTGCCTATTCTTGCCTCTCTGATGGATTCGCTCATATTTTATCGGTAATAATCAAGCGAGTTTTGCATCTTCTTCTTCTTTTCAACCAGATCAGCGAGTTTATTTGCGTTGTAAACCACCTAAATAGCAACAAGGAAGATTTATTTTCCTTCCCTATTGTAGAACAATGTTAAATCCGAGAAGAGTCTACTACTACTCTGGGACGAAAAGAAGATGCGTGAATCAAAACCGATGTGTTAGATTGGTGCTATGCAAGATCGATGGAAAAAAAAAGTTTGGGTGTAGGCTTGGATTTGGTCTCGAGCGATCGATGGGAGATGGGGATAGCTTATCGGTGAGTTGGGATGGATCTCCGCTCGGCGTCAAGGGGCGCCCTCGTTGGACGAGTTGGGATGGATCTGAGCGCTCGGCCAGGTTCCAGGGGTTACGACGAGGCCGGCGGCCTGGCGGCAATGGTCTCCCCCACGCAAATCAGAACAGACGACGAGCGTCGCGAGCCGAGGGGACGAACCACCGGGGTCGCCGCCCAGCCTGATATCTCGTGACCTTCTCCTCGCTCACCCCTCCACCGTGATGCATGGGGATGGAGCACGGGGTCGCCGCTTAGCGGCGGCGTCTGCAGGGAGCGGGCAACAAGACCCGCCCCCGATGGCGAAAGTGCAACCGCGTGCTCGAGCAGCCGCCGTCCGCCCACCTCGGCAGCGCGCGCGCTGGGAGGCGCGCCTCTAGCCAAGCCAATAGCAGCCATGGCGAAGCATGACTCGGGCAGCTCGGGCGAGGGGGCCGCCAAGAGCCTAGAGAGAAGGGCGGTGAGCGGCACCGGTGGTGGCGGGGAACCCTAGCCCACGGCAATACGAATAGCCGGACTAACGGGGAGAGGTGGGGGACGATGTTTAAGTTTTTTTTGGGAAAAGAAGACAGCCGAGGATTCGAACCGGCCGTGGCTGTGAGGCGTTGGCCTGGGCGTCGGCGTGCGAGGTGCGAGGGATGAGGAGGTTGACACACTCAATCTGTACCGTTGGATGAAGCTAAAAGGAGTTCTTTTGTTTCTTCATGTGGCATCCCCCTTAAAATCAAAACTACTAAAATAATTTTGAGACATCAAATGATCTCAAATGAAAATTTAATAAACATCAAAGTTGTAGAGGTCACGAAGATCTACAACTTTTATTTTGGTCATCTTGCCATTTGACAAAATTTGAACCTTTTCAAATTTGAAATTTTGAAAAACAACAAGTTCGAACCAAAATTTGAGACCCAAAATTATTTCAACATAAAAAGTAATGAATACCAAAGTTGTTCAACTCATTAATATCTACAACTTTTATTTTAGTCATCTTGTCATTTGACAAAATTTGAACCTTTCAAATTTGAAATTTTGAAAAACGACAAGTTCGAACCAAAATTTGAGACCTAAATTGATTTCAACATAAAAAGAGATGAATACCAAAGTTGTTTAACTCATGAATATATACAACTTTTATTTTGGTCATTTCTTCATTTGAAAAAATCTTAGCACACATTATTCACTAATCTTACACATGTCTCATATAGTTTATAAAACCTTATGAGAGATGTGTCACATTTGTGAACAATGCCGTTACCACTTTGTCATATGAAGAAATGATCAATACAAAAGTTGTAGATCTTGATGAGTTATTCGACTTTGGTATTTATCACTTTTTTAGCTGAAATCATTTGGGGAACCAAAATCTTGTCTGAAGTTGTATTTTTTGAAATTCAAAATTTAAATTGCTCAAACTTTTCATATGTATATATTGACAAAACTAACAAAATAAATTGATAGAGAATGATTTTAGAAAATTTTAGGAAAAAAATCATCAGATTTGGAGTTAGTATGAGTAAGAAAAACTAGTTACAAAGTTGACCCACAGATTAAAAAAAGAAATCACACTGTTCACTAAGATCATGTAAGGATCATTTAGAACAGTGTGATTTCTCTTTTTAATATGTGGGTAAACTTTGTAACTAGTTGTTCTCACTCATACTAACTCCAAATGTGATGGTTTTTTTTTTCTAAAAAATTCTAAAATCATGCTTCAGCATTTCAGTTTGATCAAACTTGGATGTGACAATGTTTTACATATTTTAAAATTTGACAAGTTCAAACCAAATTTTCAAACCCTGAATGATTTCATATGCAAAATTGATGAATACAAAAGTTGTTCAACTCATCAAGATCTACGACTTTTATTTTGGTCATCTTGTCATTTGACAAAATTTGAACCTTTCAAATTTGAAATTTTAAAAAATTATAAGTTCGAACCAAAATTTGAGACCCAAAATGATTTCAACATAAAAAGTGATGAATATCAAAGTTGTTCAACTCATTAATATCTACAACTTTTATTTTAGTCATCTTGTTATTTGACAAAAATTGAACCTTTCAAATTGGAATTTTTGAAAAACAACAAGTTCGAACCAAAATTTGAGACCCAAAATGATTTCAACATAAAAAGTGATGAATACCAAAGTTGTTCAACTCATTAATATCTACAACTTTTATTTTAGTCATCTTGTCATTTGACAAAATTTGAACCTTTCAAATTTGAAATTTTAAAAAACAACAAGTTCGAACCAAAATTTGAGACCCAAATTAATTTCAACATAAAAAGCGATGAATACCAAAGTTGTTCAACTCATGAATATCTACAACTTGTATTTTGGTCATTTCTTCATTTGACAAATTCTTAGCACACATTGTTCACTAATCTTACACATGTCTCATATAGTTTATAAAACCTTATAAGAGATGTGTCACATTTGTGAACAATGTCGTTACCACTTTGTCATATGAAGAAATGACCAATACAAAAGTTGTAGATCTTGATGAGTTATTCAACTTTGGTATTTATAACTTTTTCAGCTGAAATCATTTGGGGAACCAAAATCTTGTCTGAAGTTGCATTTTTTTTAAATTCAAAATTTAAATTGCTCAAACTTTTCATATGTATATATTGACAAAACCAACAAAATAAATTGATAGAGAATGATTTTAGAAGATTTTAGGAAAAAAATCATCAATTATCATGTTATACGTTTACAAATAGAAAAACATGAATGCCTTTATCACAAAACGGCGAGTGCTCCAGTGGTAACGCACCAACATGTCTAGCAGCAGGTCGTGGGTTCAAATCTCCCTGCGTGCGCTATTTTTTGGCAAAAAAAGGGAGGCGGAAGGATGCAAGTCCACCTGGACCGTGTGGGCCACGCTGCCCCACTTGTTCGCCGCCATGTCCTCGGGCTGAGACCCGCTGGTGGGACCGCATCGCCATGTCTTCGAGGTTGGGACCCAATGGTGGGACCACATCGCCACGTCCTCGAGGTGGGACCTGCTGGTGGGACCACGATGCCACATCCTCGAGGTGGTACACGAGCCAAACGATCTATGATGATTTAGTTTTGTTGTTTTATGACGATTCTTTTGTTTTTGTCATTATTCTTCATGCCAAAGCTCCGTCACTTGTTACTTATGACGAAGCTGGAAATTTCGTCATAGAAGGCGCTTGTTCTCTGACGAAATTTGAAAGCGTCACGACTGAATCGTCATTGATGAACACATTTCTAGTAGTGCGACCACTCCTCTAGCCTGACGAAGCTCCAGCACCACCGTGCCAGCCTTCCCTCCGCCATCACAGCTCGTTGTCGTGAAGCCGTTCCGCTGTCGGCGCCTGTGCACGTGGCCGGCTGGCCTCGGGCCGCCGTGGAGCATGACACGAGCACCCACGGGAGCGCGCAAGCCCCTTGCTCCTTCCCCGCCACTCTGTCGTCGACGCACCTCCTTCGGCGAGCTCCCGCGCATCTCTTGCTCCAAAGCCACATCAGGGACCTTGCACAACAATTCGACATAAGTGAAGGGCTCAACTGCAAATCTCATGACACAGTTGAATAATGCCGAGAAGGACCCATTTCGAGAGTTTGTATTAGTGAGAAGTTTAGGGTCTCCGATGCAAAGTAATTTTTCCTTTATGCTTTTATTTTGGCTGAAATTTGAAAATGCATAACAAATTGTAGACAAATCGTAAAATAGCAACTGAGGACTTTTTGGAATCCTTGTGAAATTATCTATGCAATAGATCTATAAGATGGCATGGTTTAGTTGCAGTTTTTTGCTGTAAAAATAAATTTATGCAGTTAGATTTTTAATACTAGTTATGTCTTGTCTTTTTCATAACTACAGTTGTTATGCTCAAATAAATGTGAAATTTGTATTGAATTCTACTCAGGTAATGGTTGATGTCTGGTAAAAATTTTAGGATTTTAGACTTGATAGTTTAAGAGCTATAAAAATAACAATTGTCCTATGTTGCTTTGCTCTTATTTTGAATAGGCCTGAATGTTTGTGTTAATTGGCTCAGCTAAGTTGTGAATCATGCCTTAATGACAATAGATGAGTTGTAGTACTTTTCTTAAGATTTTTAAAAAGATAAAGAGCATAATTTTTGGTTAAGTATATTTTTAGTTATAGTTGTTTAAATTTCTGTGGCTGTTTCTGCCCAACCCCAGACAGGGTTGCCTTGTTGGTAATGTGTGGCCTTGTTAATAGTATAATTAGCTCTAGGTGTTTATAACAAAGTTGTTTAAAATTTGCTATGATTTGCAAAAAATCTAGAACCACATTTATTGGACAT